AAAGAAAGAAAGAAAGAAAGAAAGAAAGAAAGAAAGAAAGAAAGAAAAAGAAAGAAAGAAAGAAAGAAAGAAAGAAGAATATTTGTAGCTCAGGGTTGACATGAGGAGTCCTTGGTGCTCTCTGAGGTTGATTTTCTTGCAGATGTTTCATTACCTAACTAGGTAACATCATCAGTGCTAGTAGTATCAAGGGGAGAGGGTGGGGGAGGAAGGAAGGATATTTGTAGCTCAGGGTTAACCTCATAAGTACTATTAACAGGGAGGGAGGGAGGGAGGGAGGAAGGAAGGAAGGAAGGAAGGAAGGAAGGAAGGAAGGAAGGAAGGAAGGAAGGAAGGAGAGAAGGGTTGACAGAAGGGGTCCTTGGTGTTCTCTGAGCGTGGTTGTTTTCTGGCAGACGTTTCATGGCCCCAACTAGGTAACATCATCAGTGCTAGTTGCAAAGGGAAGGGAAGGAGGGAGGGAAGGAAGGAAGGAAAAAAGGAAAGAAGAGAAAGAAAATGAAAAGAAAGAAAGAATCTGCCCCAAGAGCCGTCGTTTGAGGACCCCTGATTTTAATGCAATATTTTTTAAAAATGCAAATAATTTTTCTTGCGAACCACCAACATTTTCTCGCCAACCACCAGTGGTCCATGGACCACCAGTTGGTGGCCGCTTCCCCCGGGACACAGAACCCCCAGGTGACCTTCAGTGTAGCCACTGGGTTGGAGGAAAGTGGAAGAGAAGCAGGATGGGGAGGAAGGGACAGAAATTGGAAGGGCCCCGGCCCAGCCGGCCGGCCGGGAGAGCTGCCAAAGACGCCCTTGTCAAGCCGGCTCCCTCCTCCGTTGTCACATGCTGCATTTGTTTACCCTCCAATTCACAGGGTTGGCTTTGACACTTTTTTGTGTGTGTGTGGTCAGCCCCCCCTTTCTCTCCCCTCCCCGCCCGGATCCTTAAGGCTGTGCCTGTATGATCCACAGGATTCCTAGGAATAGCTGCCATGGATTTCTTCCCTGGCACTCTCCAGAATCTCCAATTGGGGGGGGGGAGAGGGGGAACTGGCTTTGTCCCCCCCACAAGCCTGAGAGGCTGTGGATGGCAGTGAGGATGTGGGCAGTGGGAAGCTAGGCACAGGCGGCGGGGAGAAGGTGCGTCTCCAAAGCCCCTGAAGGCAAGAGAAGAAATAGCAGACGGAAACTAACCAAGGAGAGAAGCTAGTTGGAATGAAACAGAAACTTCCTAACGGTGAAGACAATTAACCAGTGGAACTACTTGCCACCAGAGGCTGTGGGTGCTCCATCACTGGAGGCTTCTAGGAAGAGAACTGGACAACCACTTGTCTGGAATCGTGTAGGGCAGTGATGGATAACCTTTTCGGCACCAAGTGCCCAAAGTGCACCTTCGTGCAAACCCCCAAAATGCAATGCGCAAGCGCCCCCCCCCCCCCCACATGTGCCCTGCCCCTATGCATGCGCTCCACCTCCCCACGCATGCATTGCAGAGACTCGGTCGGCAGGAAGTGTGCACGCCTTCGTGGTGGAGCTGAGCTAGTGCGACAGCTCGCGGGTCCGCAGAGAAGGCCTTCAAATACAAACTCGGGATACTGGAATGCCCACGAGGCTGGAGTTTCAAAACGTCTTTGCCTTCTGCAAAGGACGTTCCTTTCACAGCTGGCTTTTATCTGCTTGAAGGAAGGGCCGTTACCTTGCAGCCTTACTCCCGAGTTTCCCATGCTGCTGCAGCTGCTCTTTCCTACGAGCTATCCTGCACGTACGCGCACTTGGCACAGGCTCCTCGGGAACCTCCTCATCGCTGCTGCCAACCCCCCCAATCTCTGAAGGCAGCAGCCCGCTCCCTGATGGTCCTGGCCCCTCATCTGAGTCCTCGCTCTCCTCAGCCGTCCGCACCTGCTGCCTGTTAACCACAACAAATAGCTCCTAAGGAGCAGAGAGTTGGGGGGGTGAAGAAAAGGCCCCCTGCTTCAAGAAAAGATTGACCCCACGAGAGTGTAAAGCTTTGCTGTGGTTTTCGGCCGGCTCTAGAGCAGGGGTATCCAACCTCGGCTTGTGGACTTCAACTCCCAGCATTCCCCAGCCCGCCAAGTCTTTGACTTTAAGCCTTAAAGTTGCCACCCCTGCTTTAAAAACGCTCTGGAATAAGTGGCTGCAGATTATTAGCAGGATGTGGCCACAGCATTCCAGGGAAATTGCTCCTCGGAGCTTCCTTGCCGCTCCTGGGTGTATATCCCCAAGTTTAATCAAAGTGATAGAGCCAGGTGAAGATTTATTCCTCCTTTTGAAGATGGAAGGGTTGGAGGAAGAGGGGAGAGGCGCAACTGCCCATCTGGATTTTGAAGCAATCACGCTCAGAAGTCCCACCTCCATCGCAGCAGCTGAACTCCCTCCTCTGTGCCTGTGCCTTTGATGAGCGGTCAAGTTTGGGAGGATCTGGCCTTGAGGGGGTGCCCACACCCCAATTGCTCCCTGTTTCTGCAGGTTCAGCCATCTTGGCAGTCCTTTTCATCAGGCCTTTTGCTTTCAAAAGAGAACGAAGGGTACTGAATTCACTTACGTCCTGTAAATTAAGTTGGTACTGGAAAGGAACCCAAGAGTAGGTTTGCTAACCTGTCGGTGCCATCAAACTTGGATTCAAACCATCCAGGTTTAGCATATCGCACGCATGCAGAGGCTACATTTCTAGCTGATTTGGGGTTCTAAGCATGTTCTGTGAACTCAGACCTGCTTTGGCAAGGGTTTCTTTTCAGCACATGTCCCAAACGCACCGCCGTATAAGTATAAACATAACATAAACATAGAAGTATAAACGGGTTATAAGTATATACATGATACATGAGTACGAATAAATGGGAACGGAAGGACAGGGGCAGTGAGCATGCTGGTGCACTTATGCACGGCCCCTTACAGACCTTTTAGGAATGGAGTGAGGCCCACAGTAGACAGTTTTCAGGTTAAAAGTTTTGGGGGTTTGAGGATGTAACAACAGAGTAAGGTAGTGGGTTCCAGGCGTTGACCCCTCTGTTGCTGAAGTCATATTTTCTGCAATCGAGTTTGGAGTGGTTTACTTTGAGTTTGTATCTATTGTTTGCCTGTGTGTTATTGCGGTTGAAGCTGAAGTCGTCTTTGACGGGTAGGATGTTGTAGCAGACAATTTTGTGCACTAAGCTTAGGTCAGACTGTTAGGCAGCGTAGTTCTAGGTTGTACTTCAAGCCTGGTGGTGTAGGGTATTCTATTGCGAGAAGAGGAGTGGAGGACTCTTCTCATGAAATACCTCTGGACTCGCTCAATCGTATTAATGTCCGTTATACAGTGCGGATTCCAGGCAGATGAGCCGTATTCAAGAATTGGTCTGGTGAAGGTTTTGTGTTCTAGAAGCTGTACCTATCCATCTCTGGGACATTCCTCCGCTCCCACTCCTCACCTTCTGCTTCTCCCTCTCCCCCCCTCAGAGGTTCACCAGTAAGCAGGATGTCATCCGGCATTACAACATGCACAAGAAGCGGGACAACTCCTTGCAGCACGGCTTCATGCGGTTCAGCCCCCTGGACGACTGCAGCGTCTACTATCACGGTTGCCACCTCAATGGGAAAAGCACACATTACCACTGCATGCAGGTAAATGGCCAGCCAGCCTGGGACGGCCAAGGATCAGGGCCAACAACGGGTTCCATCCCCGCCGAAGCCGAGTCTTTATTGGGGGGGAATAATCCCCTTTTCTGCAGATCGACATCATGCAACGGGGGTGCGTTTTTCCAGAATGGATAACTGGTGGGTTTTTCCTTTGCGTTCCTCCCACCCCGTCACAAGGCCGTGGTGAGATATACCGGTTTGACCTGGTTCACCCGACCTGGTAGTAAAGAAACAAGGTCCAATGATCAGCTTAGAGCAGCGATGGCTAACCTGTCCGTCCTCATGTGACGACACTCATAAGGCAATGCACGCGCCCCCACCATTTCTCCCTGCGCGTAGACGCACTATCCCTATGCGCACCACCATACGTCTCTGCGCGCTGCATGTTTCTTTGCATGTGTGTGTGCCCACCTGCACGCCCCGCACCTTTCTGTGCATACGTGTACATCCCCCCTGGTTGGGGGAGGGAGAAGTGGACTGAGAGTATAAGGCCTCGGTAGGGCCATGCTTGGAAATACAGCATCCAGTTTAGCCATGATGTAAAAAAAAAAGAGGTTGAGACCAGAGATGGGATTCAGATTTTTTTTTATTACTGGTTCTGTGGCCGTGGCTTGGTGGGCGTGGCTTGGTGGGCGTGGCAGGGGAAGGATACTGCAAAATCCCCCTTCCCTCCCCACCCCACCAACCTGCTTTCCAGGCTCAAGCCTACGAAGAACGGTTGCAGGAACTGGGCACGTCTAGGTTGATGAAAAGAAGGACCAGGGGTGACATGATAGCAGTGTTCCAATAGCTCAGGGTCTTCCACAAGAGGGGTGTGTGTGTGTGAACCTGTTCTCCAAAGCAGGGGTCTCCAACCTCGGCAACTTTAAAAAATTGGGGACTTCAACTCCCAGAATTGCTCAGCCAGCAAAGAGTTGAAGTCCACAAGCCTTAAAGTTGCCGAGGTTGGAGACCCCTGCCCCAAAGCACCAAAAGGCAGGACAAGAAGCAATGGGTTGGACACTAACCAAGGAGAGAAGCAACGTAGAACGAAGGAGAAATTCCCTGAAAGTTGGAACATTTAATCAGTGGAACAACCTGCCTCCAGAAGTTGTGGATGCTCCAACACTGGTGGTTTTTAAGAAGAGATTCGACCACCCTTTGTCTGAAGTGGTGTAGGGTTGCCTGCCTAAGCAGGGGGTTGGACTAGAAGACCTCCAAGGTCCCTTCCAAGCTCTTTGTTATTCTAAACCTCTTAAATAGCAGCATTTGCCCTCAACAAGCCTCTCTGCGAAGGCCCTTCCCCTTTTTCATGTCCATAATTGGCCTGGACCAAAAAGCAGTTAGTTGTTTATATCAATGAGACATTTTTCATGCTTTAACCACAATTAGACCCTATTGCAAATTATTCACCAGGAGGTGTGTGTGTGTGT